TGTTGCTGCATTTTACGATTTAATAAAGGATGAACAAAAAGTAACTTCTAAGGCAAGAGCATTCAAACCTAGGAGCAAATTTTGAGAGTTAGGTTTTTAAATATGTGGGAGAGCTTGACCATGAAAATCAGTTTTCATGTAGTTCTAGCAGGTAGCTAAAGGCAGACTTTCATGGTTTTGGTGGTAATAATAAAGTTGGGTTATCTTTCTTTTAAATGCYACATTCAGAGGAGTGGTTAGAAAGYTGAAGACCTCKTTTGTGCCAAACCCTAAAGACTGAMAATTTAGGGCCCTGACCTCACCCACAGTTGAGGAGGTCTGAAGCTCTTCTTGCAAGTAGTTTGTAGTAGTCAGTAGTACTAACTAAACATGTTTAGCAAAGATTGTGATGTTGAGGAATAGCATTGTTTCAGTCATAACTTGCATTGTGTTTTTAAATTTTAAAATTAGCCATAAAAATGCATGTATTGCCTCATTTGTTTTAAGATTGAAAAAACATCATTGAATATAAAMCAGATTTTTGAAATTAGCTTCCTGTTCCTTTCTTAGGTGCTGAAATAGCTGAAAAGTACAATTCAGACTGATGTCACACTATAAATATTAATGAAGTTCTACTTGGCAGCTGGTTATGTTCAAAGTTGGTGTTTGCAATTATAGTTTAGAATTATTTGCTTAACAACTCAGCATTTGTTTTCTTTGACAATAATAGTGCTAAGATCTTGGACGTCTCTGCATGTATAATCATGTTAGTGGGAAGTCAAAATGTCTTTGTATAAAAGAACCCCTCTATTAATCATTAGAAATGAGATAACTGTGGAACATTATTTTGGAAAATTTCAGGGTGTAAGCTATGAAAGAGTGAAGTTAAAAAAAACCCCAAAAAACAATGCAGATTGTGAATTAAGCTCCATTCTCCATCACACTCTCCTGGCCTTCCTCCTGTCCTGGTTCGGTCGGGCCATAATCGTCTACCCAAGGCTGCATTACAGGGTGCAGTGCTGAGACCTGGAGCTTCTTTCAGGCAGCAGGAGATGCTGGGGGACTTAGCCCCAGTATTGCCCTGGTGTGAATTCCTTGACAGTTCACTRGTGTGAATTCCTTAATAATGCAGCTTTTATTGTTAAGGCAAACAAAGCAAAAGGATAGTTTAACACTGGAAACTTTGATACTCTTCTAATTAAATGCAGGAAGATTGTAAGTACTAGATCATTTGAAAGGCATGGTATCTTTCAATCCTGTCCTACTTGTGAATGAATGATCTTTAGTCGTGTTGTTTTTAGCTGTTGTAGTTGCTGCTGTCAGTGAATAAGCAACCCTTCCCCCTTTCCTCTGCACATGGCTGCTTACCACCTTATCAGTTTTAATTTAGTTACTCCTGCTGGTTTTGATAAACATACGGCTGTATAGGAGTTGATGAGTGTTATTGGTGGTTCGAAAGGAAACCTTCCATCCTGAGTTGACTTTAGTGGTATGAATAATCTGACCGGATGATTCTGTTGGGATTATAAACAGTAAAGGAGCTGTTTGTAGCTTTCAGGTTTAAAGTTGAGCTGTTGAGAAGTAGGCTTCTCACTCTCCACAGCGTTTTGCTTAAGGTGGAAAAAAATGCTTCATGTCTCTTGACTAGTATAAGATCCTTCCTCTTCCTCCTCTTCACCTCTCTCTAGAAAACGCTGGTCCTTTGTATTCTGAAGACTATGTCACTTTGCAAATATCCTGGAATCAAAGCTTGGTTGCACTGGGCTCCAGCATTCTTGGGAATGTTAGTATACATGGATTGCTGGCATTCTGAGCATTTTCATTGCATGCAGTTTTTTTCACTGGCACACAAATAAGTGYCATGATAGTTGTGATACTTGTAATAATGACTGCTTCTGTGCCATTGGGATTTAGAGCATTGCTAATGTTAGCAGTTAACAGTGTGAAGTAGCCTTCTTTTGTGCCTGAAAAAAAGTAATTTTCAAGACCTCACAGAACCAGAGTTGAATAATTGAAAAGAATGGTTTTTTTTTTAAGTGGTAGTTTGTTTCCAACTCTGAAAAAAAAAAAGTCTTTTGAGTGGCCTAAGTTTTGATATGGAGTGTAAAAAGCTGCTGATATTCTCAACTCTCCATGTTTTAATTACTTCTGGCTATAGGTATCACCACAACTCTTACTGTGGTGCTGTCAAGAAGAGGTGTCAGGCAGATAAGACAGAATACTCCCAATAACCTCACTTTTATAGTTTCCATAAACATCGTGGTATAGAGTGTTGAAGATCTTGAAGAAAAAAAAAAGTAGAAATAATTTTGAGGATGCTTTGTAACGTGTATATTGTATCTAAACACATGTATGTCTGTATGCACATACRTGTGTGTGTATGCTACAGTCACATTGAAAAGACAGTGTGGGACAAAGCACAAAGGACTTTGGAAAATTTAACCACCTTTGGCTGATTATGGTTGGGATGTAGGCTTCATTACAGTCGAGAAGTGATGTCTAGTGTACAGTAGGCTGCTAAAGCAAAGTGGAGACAYCTTTTATGTTTAATTGTAACTTTTAATGGATTCTTTAGCAAAATCATTATGAGCAGAAAAGAAGTGGGTTTTGTGCTGCTTTGTGCAGTAGCAAGTGGCAAAACGGTGTAAGCAAAACATTTTTTTAAATAATTTTTCAGTTTACTTTTCCTTTAGTGGGAGGAGAAACATTTAGCATCTTAAATATTGTTTATGTAATGGTTTGGAACACCAGGAATGTGATGATGAAATAATCTTTCTGTTTCAAGACTGTCTTTAGACTCAAAGGCGAGAGGCAGAATTTTYTAAACAGAAGATCTGGTGTAAGACCATTTAGAAGTATCCTTTTGCATATTTCACATGTATCCCTTCACATTGAATCAAAAAGGGAGATACTCTTTAATGAGGAAAAAAAACATAAATTCACTAATGATTGGATTTTCTTGCGCAGATCATGCTGTATAGTTGTCCGTTTAAAAACCCCTGACATCTTCAGGAGTGTTCTATTTTATGAAAGTGATTTGCTAGTTTGTATTTGAGCTGTTCATGTAAAAAGACTTAAGTGGTATGAAGTGGGACTTGTGTTTAGTTCATATAGGTTGTCTTCAACTTCTTTATAGTCCTGCTATTCTCATGTTGCTTTAGAAGAGCAGAACAGACTAATGTATATGATATCTATTCCAAGTTACAGTTATTTATCATGTAAAAGTACTTGTGTCATATCTAGATGAGCAGCTGAAACATTTTCTATATATTACCAAGAACATCACTGCAAAGAATTTAATACTGAACAAAATAAGAAGTTGTGCAGCCAACACTGAATTAAACATAATGGACACCCTTTCTCATGAAGTATTTTGCTGTGATTTGTGGGGTATGCGACTGCCATTCCCAAATATTCCTCCCTGCATTTTTTTTTTTTTTGCCATAAGAGATTGAGAATTTCTGCCATTTCTTTTCCCATTTCTCCCAGCTGCTTTGTTTAGAGTGGTATCTTTAGTTCGTATTTCCTTGAAGTCCTAATCCTTCCTGGATTTCCTTCCATCTAAGTAATGCAAAAAGATTGTTCTAAACCAGGTGAAATAAGGAGGTTGCAAAACCTCTTCTTAAGCACCAGTGGTATGTCTCCTTCTACCAAATTATTTCTAATTGGTTATGARTTACGTTTCCATCTTCAGCCTTGAAAAGTGGAGAATTATCATCACAGAGAGACCTGAGTTGTCCTGTGTAATTTTTACAGTAAATCATGACTGTTACACTGCCAGTGTGCCATAGATGAAAACAACCCATAAAATATTTTGGAGTTGTTTTGAAGTTGTGAATGACYTTAAGCTAACTTCCTAATATACTAATTGTGTATGTGATGTTTTTGTGTAGTTACATCAGCAGCTGAATTTTGTAAGATGATGTTTTAAAACAGCTGGAGACATTTTGAGCAGAATGTGCTCTGGCTTGCTTTATCACAATCACCCCACAGCTTAAAGTCAGAACCATGTTCAAAATGAAAGTTTGTTTCTGTAAAACCTTTCTGCACTTAGCAAAGAGACAGGTGAACCACCAYGGCAGCAAAAACGCCCTTTATCACCAGATGTAGTTTCTAGACAGAAATTATTCTAATGGAAAWCGTGCCTGCCCAGGAAATTCTTAGTTAATGCTAGAAGATCAGGAAAAAAATACTCTGTTTATGGCAGTCAGTCCAATGACAGGAGCAGTTTGTTAGTAGAGAGTGCTGTACATTAAGCTGGAGTAATAGCCAACAAAATGATGCAGTGAATTTAGAAAAATGCCACTTGTTCATATCCCTTACAACAAACCTGAATAATGGCAAGTGGAATAATWTAGATTTTAGTGATGCTAACTTGAATGTATAATGGTAAGCTGATAGGTCTGGACTTCTTTTAATTCCTGGAAGTTGGTTATGTTTTGCAAAACCAAAATTGAAGTATTTAATTCTAGCTGTGGTTAAGACAKATTATGTATGATTTGAAATGGGCTTGATTGTTAGCCGGTGCAGTGCTGCTGCTATGTTACTCTTTTAAAATAGGATTAAATACATGATGATTTGTAGGTAYGGGATTCATTTTTACACATAGTAGTTAATATTCAGGAGTTATTGTAGGATTACATAATCACTTTCCTTGATTGCAAGGAAACATACTTGTGTGTGTTCTCTAGGTTCTTATACAAGAAACCAGTTTCATCCCATATTTTTTTCCCAGTTGTGAATAGAAATTATGTTTCTACAGCCTCCTACTGTTCTGTTGTATCTCATAGTCAGTAGGAGATCCTCTCACACATGCTACCAGTGTTTACTGTTTTTCCAGATTTGGATGGGAGGTTGTGGGGAGAATTTTAAGAAAATATTTTCTTGATGGCAGCTTGTTTCTTTTGCTTCTTCGCACCTAGGTTTGCTGAGCTTTGGAGACAATTGACTTTTGTTTTTATATGTTTTTCTATTTATTGATGCCCGCAGTTGGTTGATTTTTTTTTATTTTCTCCTTTTAGGGTTTCGTTTTTGCACTGAATGTAGCCAGGACGGATCCTTGTGGGCTTTGGCAGCCCTTGGAAACTGTCAAAGGTAAAAATCAACCCGAGGTCAATGTTGTTATCTTGAAAGTTGGAGGTGAGAAGAACAATAGCCTATGGTGGTTCTTAAGATACTGTAGGAGTCTATCTGTTTTCATATACTTTGTAGTGTGTTATTTCCTGTGGGTTTGGGTGTGAAGTTTGTTACTGCCTGATGTGATTTGTTTCTAAAGCTAAAGTTGATATGTATGATGTACCATTTATTTGAAGATCAGTTAATTTATTTTGAGATTTTTAAAGTCACTGGAATTGGTGATTATTTTTTATAAGCAATAAAGTTATAGTCAAGGCTTTTTTATCTTCTGAATGCTTTTGCTTTCAGAGCAACTTGCATTTAAAGTGCCGAAAAATAATCCATTCTTCTGTACATTAGATTTTATGTTGCTTTCGTTCAATCTTAACAGAGTCAATGTAATATAATGCTTTAGCAGTTAGATATAATATGGCTGGATCATGTGTTCAAAATGAACACATTTTTGTCTGTGTGCCTAGAGACCAGTGATAGCGGTCATGTGTTGATACAATTGTGTCAAATAGGCATAGTCTCATTTAAGACATAATTTAGTCAAATACTGCCTTGTTCTAACTGCTCTTGTTTCAAGTATGCCATGTATGCAAGATCACTATCTTGGAAGAGGACTCCTGTGCCTGTTTTGTTTTGTGAGAGAGTTTGGGACCTACCTTTAGTTTCTGCTTAATGTCTGTAATTGGGACAGTTGATGCAGTCTTACTGCCCTTCAGGCTTTTTCTAGTGGGCCATAGCCAGTTTGGACTTGAGAATTCACAGGATTCACAATTGGTTATGCATTAAGTGTTTCTCTTGCAACTGCACTCTTGGGAAGCTTGAAGTAGTTATTTTCTTCATTATCAAATGAGGAACAGTTTTTTCTTTAGTCTATGTTTGATTCCTGCTGCTAATCTGAAAAAAAAAAAAAAGGGTTGCAGCACAGAAGACCCTTGTATCAGGTAAGGTGCTTAGTCCCACTGATGCCTGTTTGATGAAACCAAATTTGAAATAATTAGAATACCAGCTCTCTCTTGCTCTTGGGTACCTTGTCTTTTTCCATGCTGGACCTTTCTATGTGGAGGAAAAATTAGGCATAGAGGAAGTACCTTGTTTTCTGATATTCATTTTTAGGGATTTTTAGGTATATGAAAATTTTGTTCAGGTTTTACTTGCCAGAGGGTGTTGGAATGCAGAAGTGAAGAGAAAATATCCATGAGAATACAGTGCTGTTCTGCTTACACTGAGTATATGGCTGGTAGCTGTATCTATTATCCTGATACCACTAAATAACGTGTGTGCATCTTTGTCTCAGTTTAGAGACAATTTTAGGAGAAAACGCACTRGAATGAACGTTTCCTCTAAAGAAAATGGTTTCAGCAATCACTTCCTACCAATACAAAACGAATTTTCTGGGTGAAAGTGGAAAAAAAAACCCTGTTTATTTAACTAACAAGGTGCCCACATTGGTTCAGCTTCTCCTGAGGTCTGGGCTGATATGGGATGTCCCCCTGGCTTTCCTGCTGGTCAGTGCTGACSGGCGCCCGCCTATGGTCTGATTCTYGGACTAAACTAATCTGGACAGTCCAAGAAGAAACAACAGAGGCCAGCAAAAAAATGGCTACTGCAGTCCAAGGAAAGAAACTTCCTGCCTAAGCTAACAAAAATCAAGCTASCTAAAGCAACAATGTAACTCCATCTCCAGTTTGCAGAAGAAAGCTTTGAACAAAGCCCTGCCAGAGTTCCCTTGGCTCCTACCCCTCCCCTGCACTTGCTTAAAGCTACAGGACCTATTTCTGGGCATGAAGCAGATAATCAGGAATAGATTATCATCATAAAATCACCCCAAGACAGTCTTTCCTGCAGAAACAGATGGAACGAGAATAGGACTAAATATCAAACTGAATTGTACCAAAACCATACTGTTTTATGACAATATTGCAGTAGGCAATAAAGTTTGTTAGAAATCCAGCTAGTTCATATTAATGAATGYTTTTACCTTTGAGAATAGATTGTCATCCCTGTATTATATTTTAGAGAGTTAAATAAAAGTTGTTCCTAGGTTTGTACATGCATTTACTACATTGTATGTGGGCATACCAATACATTGCTATTTGTCAGACCTTCCTTGGAGTTATGTCACTCCAGTTGAAGTTAGTTAATATTTCTGAAGGATATCAGGTGAATAAAAAGATTGGGAGATTTCAATCACATTTCAAGTATTTTCAATGGATATGTGCAAGGGTGGAAGAAGATGATTATATTACTTTTGGCCTTTTTCAGGAGTCACTTTGTTGGTAGATGTTGGATCTGAAAATCTAAATGGACAGTCTATAAACTTCCTTTTTATCACCAGGGAACTTGACACATCAAGTATTGAATATAAGTGAAGTATTGAATATAAGTAAACAAAATGCCTTGAGACTTTTGGCATTTCCCTGTTCCTATAGGATGCTAGTACAAATTCTTGCTTGCTGTCTGTCCTTCATGTATAAAATAAATGGCCCTGTGTGTCACCTTCAGCTCTCTGGTCAGAAGCTGGTGAGCTGAGGAGGTGATGTCAGGAACATGGAATAATTATGTTATTGCTTCATGTGCTGGCAGTAAGCAGTCTCTGTTGGCTGAGAAGTCTCCTCAGTTGCAATGAGGCTGCAGAAGTCTGCCACAGAGGTAGAGTCGCATGGATTCAGGAATCTTGAAATGTCTCCTTTTTAGCAAAAAATATACTTGTATTGCAGCATTCTTGTGCCAGTGGCTAAAGRAATCAGTGATTAATGTATGCAAAAAAAACATGAAAAATATTGAATTAGACTCATAGTTTATTGTGGGATATTTTGTCTCCTGAAAGAACCCAGAATCAAATGCAATAAACTTTAAAAAAAACGCCAAACCAAACAATAAAAGGATAGCATTCAGCAAAATTTCCTCATGCAATATCTCTTGTTTGTGGCTTAGGGTCTTCCTGCGCCAGCTGTCAATTTTTTTTTGGTGGATTTTCTTTTTCCCCTTTGAAATTTTCTGGTAAATTACTGATACTTTTAAAACTTTGACCTTTTTGCCATCCCATGTGAGTTCACTCTAACTAAGCATTGTATGACAAACGTTAAAGCTGATAAAACATCAATTATAGGATAAATGAAGAGAGAAGAATAGAAAATATAAAAAAGAAAATACTATGGAGAAGGAAAATAGTTTTATTCATTCAGTTTCCTACTCTGATCTCTGCATTCTGRATACTTTCAGTGTATTTAACCTGTCATCTGTGGAAGAGCTTGCTTGATTTTGTTCTTGTAATCTTTCCAGTTAAAGGAAAGTTCTAGTTCTACTGACCTTTTCTTTTCTCCTTTGAGATGTACTGGTTGGTAGTTTTTTTGCCTTCTTCCAGGAGTAGCGTATAAAAACTGGTGTCAAATACTGCCAGTTCCTCTGGTAGTGAGGCATCTCAGAAGATAAAACACATCAGTTTTTCAGAGGTTCATGTTTGAGTTCTTCCAGCACTCAGAATGAAAAGTGACTTCCCCTTGCAGTGTTCTTGGTCTGACCTGACTGGTCTTATTTTATTTGTAACCTTTAATGCTTCTACAGCTCAAGTTTATTCTTGCTTATTTGTCTGATTTTGAGGCCAGTCAGTGCCACAGGTATCCTTCTGGCCGAAGCTCTTCTAGCTGTTAGACATTGGACTGTCTGTCTAATGATCTGAGGAGCTTCCCAGTTACTTGGCTCTGATACTGCAAAGTCATGCTTCAAAACTCCCTGGTCCAGAAGTTCTGGAGCAGGTTTCAGAAACATATTATGGCAGAGAAGTACCATGGACAGGGACTGCCAAGCCTGGCCTCCTCCACTGTGGTTGTGGAACAAAAAGCAAGAAACATTTGTTATAGGCAGGAGGATCTTGGTATAGGTGTCGTGCTAACTACCTGATGACACAGTTGTAAAGTTTGCCTTTGCCACTCTTGAAATGACTGACAAACTGAGTGGCAGATTCTAGGAAATTAGGCTTAAGGAAAGGTACAGATTGACTTAGTTTTCATTTCAGTGTTTATTTCTACCACTGTTAATGCATACATTTTTATTGAATTAGTAATTTTTTTTTTCTGGTATTCATTTTTGATTTTATGCAAAAGTCAGAATATTTAAGTGAGGATTTGGGTGAGAGTTCTCTTTTCTCCTAATTCTTTCTTTTCTCAGAAAAGGAGATTTACTACACTGTAAGTCTTTGCAGCTCTTGTGCTTTGCATTAGAACRCAATAGCTTGTTGGTTGTAAGATTTATTAAGTTGTATGTAACATTTGGTAGCTTCAGGCCCTTAATGTTTGTCGAACATGTTCTTCACTCCTTGAGTCACCTTAATGATCATGACAGATGTTGACTACCTATGTGCAACATGCAGAGGAGGTTGGAGTGCAGGCAGCCTTATAGTCTGAACACACATTAATAATGAAATGAAGGAGGTGCATCCAGATGACGCACCAAGTCTCTTTTTGACCTTGTTGCTATTTGCACTCCCCAAATTGTCAGTTTCTAGGCTTGGAATTGCCTCTGTGAAGGTGCATGTCAGCAACTCCTTAGCTGAGGTGTAGAAGTAGAGACTTGAAATGGATTTTAACCGTTGGTGTAGTTGAAGAGTTACATAATCTTGAGAGGGACAACTGTTAAAGGGCAACAACTCTTGGCTTTAACTGAATTTTTAATGAAGTGCACTCAGTGTGAGCCCTTAATTCCATATACCTGGAATGTTAGAGATCTGGTCATGTCCTATGTCTTGCATTTTGAGTGAGAAATTCCTGCTGAATTTATGCTGATGCATTTATCTCTTAAATTGATTAATTTGATCCATTACCCCTGAAAGATGCCTTATCTCTGCAGTAGGAAGCATTCTAATCTTAAACACCAGAGTCTCTGTAATTGTATTGCATCCTTCCATAAGTTACTTGGCAATTTGAAGAATGGAGTTTAGGGTGAAGATTTTATTCAGCTGCAAATGCACTGATACTGTCAAACAAAGTTAAAAATAGGTTACCTAGTAGTGTTGAATATTGGAAAAAGTGAGATCTTTTGACCTGGATTAGATTGGAAATGCCAGCCTGAAGGTGAATGACTTTATGTTTCTTGAGCCATTTAGTTTCTAGAATGTATTTAGTTTTAAAGTGAAGTCAAGGAAAAATTCCTGAAAGTAAGGCTTCAGGGGTACTTTGAGATCACTGGAAGTTTTAACAGTTTTTCCAACTAATAACCTTTAGATTGTCTGTAAGCTGAATCTTTGAAGCTTATATTTGCACAAAAGCTATTTCGTAGCAAGAAAGAATTGCTCAGCTCTGGTCTGTGTGATCATTCCTTAGTGATTGGAGCTTCTATTGGTAAAATCAGTGACTATATTAAATACTCAGCAATGACACTTAAGAGTTATAAAGTATATTCCTGTTAAATGCTGTTTTTCCTYTTAGTTAAGTAGTTTTGTCTTATCCTGAAAAAGTCACCTTGTTTGTGTAAAACAATTTCAGCGAAAATGTTCAGAATGGCAGTATTAAATGCCGTAGCCTGGAATTGCTGTTTACATGTGCTGYAATCTCATGTAACATTGTTAAAGGCAGAAAAATCATTGTTTTTAAAATATGTCTTTGTTGTTTATCTTTTAGGCAGTATTTTGCATTTCTGCAGAGCTTTGCACAGATCCTGTTCCCATGCAAACCGATGAGGGAGAAATACTGGAGGAAGGCAGTCCCAAGGTCAGTAACGTAAATGCCACTGTGTTTTGAAGGAACAAGAGTTTGCTTGGCTGAAGTGGGGGGGTACATGGAGTGAACATTGACTGGTAGTGGTATTTTTAATAAATACCTACATGCAGATATTTATAATTTATTACCATGGAGATACTTAAAAAATTAAGCTTTGAAAAACCTTTAGAAAGAGAGGGGGTTTTGCCACCCACTAAGGATTGGAACATGTGTTTTCAGGCTCTTCCAGGAAGGAAAGAAGAAACTTGTAAAAAGATACTAACCTTGATTGTATTTCATTTGTGAAAACTGGAAGGGCTTTCTGTCCTACCTACTCACCCTCTGAACTGACTTAAGGAATTAGACATGTGGACCCTTGGGTGCAGGTGTTGGTGTCTGTGGATTACTGACTGACCCATATATAAGGTGTTCTGCTTGTTTCCTTGTAYTTGCCAGCATGTGCTGTGTCGTGAGACTGGGTTGTGTGTTGCTTTTAAAGGTTCCTCTGATTCTCAGCACATTGTTGGGACAGGAGTGTGTGTTCTGTTGAATACAATGTTATGTCCTGCTTTTTCCTTATTTCCTGAAGATGCAAATGTTAAGGCACAAATTAGTTTGATTTTCGTAATTACATAGTAATTGCCATACTCTTCTATGTGTTTATAAATACAGTTTATTGTCCTGACTACTCAATAAGTTAGTGTTAGCATTGCACTGATCTGTGTTGAAAACATGGTCCCCACATTTCACAAAAATTTGAATAATTGTTCGCTTGCTTGTAGTTTTGTGTAAGAGACAGACTGAAAAATGAAAAACTAGAAGACTAAAGTAAAAATTTGTTTTCTAGATAGACCTTTGGAGAGATGCTTTCATTGTTGTAGTGTCTAAGAAAAAAACATTCTTTTAGTTGTAARCACCAAGTTAGGAAGTAATTCATTATCAGAGAAAGGACTTGGCAATTGTGCTGCATGTACTTTTGGAGTTGTGTTAATTTTAAATAGCTTTGAAGGAAGGTTGGGTCTAGATTAGGAGCTGAAAAATGAGAACATACCAGTGGATATGAGAACATATCGGTACTTGCAGCAATCCAGGGTATTGAATCATCTTTTGACAAGGGTGTGATTACACTTTTCAGTGGGGAATAGATATGAGAGAGGAAACATCATGGTGCRATTAATTACTGATTTGAGGATAGTTATTGGTACTTTCTTTTCACCACACAGAGAGGATCTTTGTGTGTGTGTGTGAATGCACATTTATGTGTATACTAACAGGTGCCTGTGTCTATATTTATGGATATAGAGCTGAAAAACTCTGATGTTTTCCCAAAAAGTGACATGTTATGCTTTATGCTTCTGAACTGGTTTGGTTCTATAATTGTCTCAGATTTTCTGGCATCTTAGACCATAGAGTATTCTGAGACATCCAGGTCAAGACTTGAAGATAAAGGGAGATTTCCTCTGGTTTTGAAAAAGAAAARAATTGTGCCTCATGTAGAACCAAGCAAGTCACTTTAAAGACTAAATATTTATGTCCTTCAAACTCAATAACACTATGTAAGGTGTGGTTAGAAAATTTAAGCCCTGCAGTCAGACRTCATGAAGAATGATCTTCTTGCTTGACTCCTAACTACCTGATGACACAGTTGTAAAGTTTGCTTTCAGTTTTTTGCCTTTGCCACTCTTGAAATGACTGACAAACTGAGTGGCAGATTCTAGGAAATTAGGCTTAAGGAAAGGTACAGATTGACTTAGTTCTCATTTCAGTTTTTATTTCTACCACTGTTGTTAATGCATACATTTTTATTGAATTAGTAATTTTTTTTAATATTAAGGTTGTTGAGTTGTGCTCTCGTTCTTCTCAATTTTGCATACATGAGGAAATTTCTGCAGTTCTTCCTTTAGTTTTTTGACAGTGTATGCTTTTGCCATTCTTTGGCCTGTTTTCCAGCAGAGAGTGTGTTTCATGCACAGCCTTTCCCTTCCTCTCCATTGGCTGCTTTTGGAGACACTTGGTGTCTTGGTGGTTTTGTGGTCAGGGCTTTTCATATTAACTGATTCCRTTGTTTGATCTGACAGTTTCTTCCTTGTTGTCAGACTACCATAAAATACACTTTCTCTAAAATTACATCAGCACAGTAAAGATAGCTGRCACCTGTCAACAGCACGATCTTGATTCCAATAATTATCTAATGTTAGTGCTACATGGGGGGAAGCAACCTGTGCAGAAGTCAGTTTTTTTTCAAATGGGCATAGGGGGTTTAAATATTAACTTAGTTTTGACAGATGTGGAAGTATTTGATAATAATATTGGGTCTACTTTATCCAAATGGTCTGCTAATGAGTATCATACAGTAAAGTATCCTTTTTAAAATAGTTGGGGGATGGGCTGTCTGGTTTCTGGCTTTTCAGGGTCTCTTTTCTTCCTTTCAAAAAAAAAAAAAAAAAAGAATCATTAAGATTGGAACAGACCTCCAAGATCATTGAGTCCAACCTTTGCCTGACCACCACCATGAGGTGGCAAAGGCTCACCTGTGCGGTACAATTGAGGGAATTTTGTAGGACTGATCTCTTCAAAACAGGGAGTACAAGACCCTCATGGAGTTCTCCCCAGTCATGTTTGCTGGAGCTGCTCGTGGGAGGCAGGAAGCACAGGGTCATTCTGGTTCCCTGATACTGAAATGAAATCTTCTGCTACCCCTCCATCGCACCAGGAGGAAAACCAGTATTTCTGCTTGGAACCTTTTGACCTTTATTATTATTTGGATTATGATTTTAATTTTTAATTCTATTTTCTGGTAGCTAATTAGCTACTAATGATTACTAGTCTTTTTCCATTAACAGTTCTTTTTACTCTGAAAATATCAACTGATGCCCGAAAAAGGCCTGGAAATAAAACTCCATAGACCAGTGTCTGTAGAGCAAGTATTTGTATTTGTTTATTGCAGCGCTGGAGGTGAGGGGGATTTCTCCTCCTAACCCACCCACCTTTGCTTCAAATTAGCACATATTTATACAGTAAGCATGGTGTAACATGAACAYTGTCACTGCCCCCCATATGCCCACCATACACCCACCACTATACATGGCACAGAAATACATGATAGCACAGTTTTACAAGTGCACATGTGTCATCCTCAATTCGGTGGTCGCGGGGGTCTCCCTCTAATGAGATACCATCCTCTTCATCATGGTGGACTTCTAACCTTCAGAGCATGCGCAGTGGTGACCTTCATGGGTTTTTTCTAGTCTTCCAAGTYGTAATTTTCAATTATTTTGCTGACTGTCCCGTGCTTCTGCCAAGTTCTCATTAGTGCTCTCTACTGTTCCTTGTTATAGTATAAACCTGTCTACTTTCTTCAGAGCTTTTTCTGATTTATACCTCTTGGTGATTTCACGTATCTGTGTACTAATCCAGCTGGTTAGATTGCGTGCAGCTGGTATACTATATGTTGCTAATACACTATTAAAAAACTTATCAATGATAGCCTTTTTATATATTGCTATAATATATTGAAAATTATTACATTGTATTTTAATAATATGTAAAAAGTTACTACATTCTTTTATTGATAACGTATAAAAAGGCTATAGAAAGTTTTCAATTAATAAGCACCTTGTCACTTTGATATAGACCATATGTATCACAACAAGCACTGAACTTCTTGTTTGTGACTGATTTCTTTTCAGCTGTTTTGATCCATCTGTTAAGGATTACTGCACAGACAATACTTAAACTTGGTTTCTCAGTTGTTCCTTTGCTGTAAAGTACTGCAGGAGAAAACTGAAATTTTATGCCTGGTTTGAAGTATTTTTAGGTTTCTTTCAATGTTGGCAGAAGTTTTGAGCTTATGCAGAAAACTTCTTTATCAAAAAATGCAGTGAAAATTCTCAAGTTAAATGTAGAATTTCCCTCTCCCCTCCTAGCTGTTCCTTCATGTCTCAAAGTAAAAGCCTAAGAATTCAGAGGGAGTGAGGGACTTTGACTAAAGTAATTTATAGAAAGGTATTTATGAATCATGGTTTTGCTTCAGTGTTGTAGAAGGAAAAGAAGGAAAAACAGTGAGTTCTGGCATTTTAGTGTCTTGTATGCTAAAAATCTAGGTACAAAAATTTTGAAAAAATGTGACTGTGTAGGATATGTAATAAGGTTCAATCCCTAATAAATACAGGGAAAGAGAAAAGATTCTCTATTTTGTTATTTTAGGTAAATGTAATTTTATTCAAAGTTTTCATTAGTATTTATAGAAATAATTATCAAACTCAATCAGTAGGCCAGGAATGAGGCTAGTTTTTTGTACTTTGGCTTTTTCAAAACCAGTGACAGACACTGAGGTTTGTCCTGTTCTTCAGTCTCACAGTCCAGTGCCGCTTACAAGCTGTCTTGAGGTCACCTGTTCATCTTTGTTTTATTTCAAGTTGCAGCCCTGTTGTCATCGGTCATTGTGAATCTTTCTCTTACATTATTGCCTGCCTGTTCTCAACCTGGTTAATTCTTGTTTTTCTTGCCTCTTGGTGTCTAATGGTGAGCTCGCACTTGCCTTCTATTTAAATCATTCAGAATTCTGTTGGCACTGGCTAGGTTTTGTTGTGGTGTTTTGTCTTGGTTTGTTTTTTTTTCTTAATCCTGAAGAATTCATGCAGAGATGATGAAAAAGTTAAAAACTATGTGATTCAAATATCTCAACTTCATATATGTTGAGAATAAAGGAACATGAGCCTGTATTAAGGTATATATTTTTATATGTGTAAACAGAAGCTTAAAATTCAGAAGGCAGTGTTGTTTGAAGGTCTCTTTCCTAAGAGCAATAATGTTCCACTAACTGGATATTGCATAATACAACAGTGCAAAGGTTAGGCTGATGCTTTCATTTTCTGGGATTTAGAATTAATACAGTGGGAAAAAACCCTTAGTTGAGTAACTAAACTTACAGCRTCCAAAACCTTGATGCTTTACATATCTCTGGGGCTTATAATCCTACTTAGTGATACAGAACTGGGTTTCTATTCAGA